TATCTGCTTCTGCGTTAGATCAAATGAAATCGTCTCTTTGTTCTGGATTTTGGAATAAAAGATGGATTTAAAGGAGAGAGAGTTTGTCCTCAAAAACTATTGATGTTCGATTTAGATAACAATAGACTCGTTAAGCTCGTTATTATCATTCCATCTAACGTTGCTAATAATAAAGATGGCAATGGATTGCTCGCGACACCAATTGTTGAATAACAACTGAGGAGCAGACTTTCAAAATGCGTAATTTGTCCAAAATTTATCCAAAAAACTAGAAAGAAAGATAGCACACAAGAAAATTACGCACTTTACAGAGAATAATAATATGTCAATCAGTAGGACATGAAATATTAAACAAAATTGTTAAATAATTGCTAAAAATATTAAACAAATGCATTTTATTTGTCTCTAATTAAAAAAACGTAATGCACTTCGAAATGTCTATATTTCTTCAGCATATAAATTAACGATGAAAAAATGCTTTCTGAACATCTCAGAAGCTTATATTAATAATAAGGCCTTCAATATTGAACACTCAATGCCACCCCTAACTAAAAAAATAAAAATTTTGAAAACACTTTGAAAGTTTGCTCCTCAACTATTAATAATTTTAATTATTACAACATTGAAATATCAATTTTTAGACGGTCATTGTGAAAAATTTGCAATTCTCGAGTAGAAATTAAAAATTGAAAATGACTTAATATTACTGACAAACAAATTTCAAATTAGTCTTAATAATAATTTAAACTTTAACGAGACAAACTTCCGCATTCTCGAGTCGAATATAAATGAAATAGAAGAAGAGACAAATAGATGCTTCCAATCATCAGTCATAAACCTGGACCCTGGTAATATTTTAGCCTTAGAATTTGACATCTTATGTTCACTAAAAAATAAAATGATCTTAAAAAAATTTTTGTTTAAAATGTTTACATATAAAAAAAAGAAAAAAATATAATGTATAATTAGTTACGCACACTTTTATTATTATGTAATATTAATACATTGTATATATGTATAATTAATAATAAAATAATTATATAAAACAATATCTTGTTAAATAATGTTTACTCACTGTCCTTTATTTCACAATTATAAAACAAAAAGTAAAAAAATGGTAATGATATTAAAAAATTATATATATATATATATAAACAAAGATTGAACAGTTTAATGGTACTATCTTTACCTGACAATATTTTTATGTTCACTATGTTCAATGTGTATTTCTTATATAATAAACATCCTCCATACTCCAAGGACTCATTGATAAGATAACATATTGTGCGTTAGACATACAGTGAATGCAAAAAGTATTCGTACAAAGATATTTTTTATAAAAAAAACTTAGTTGTAGAAAATTAACATTAATTAGCAATTTTATATAATAAATAGATTCTATTGTATTATATAAACCAGCTCTACATGTATTCCTGATTTTTTAGAAGCTAAATTTCTCGATTATACGAACACTTTATGACCATTCAAACAATACAATTTTGTATTTTCGCTTATTTTTAAGATGATATATTTCTTATAATGAATGCACATTTTCTTGGTACATATAACTTTGAGAAACATACTATTTTATTCTTTATGAATAAATTGTTAATTACCCAACAAGAAATAACCGTCAATTAGACGTCAAAATCATCATATCGATTCAACATAAATTCAATAAATCATTTCTCACTGGATAATACTTTTTAAAACAAGATTTTTTTAAATATTTTCTCTGTACAAAATACTTTTTGCACTCACTATACATACAATTATTATTATCAATAATGCTAGAGCTCATATAACTTTAAACATTGCAATTTTTAATTATCAATTGTATTGTATAAAGAACTACTAAAAATATTATTCTATTAAAAATATTATAAATAAGTACTGCGTTCTATATAAACTTACAAACTTACAGTAGCTTTTATATAAATCTGCCATGAATATTATCTAATATTGCACAAGCTGTTTATTACTACGTTCACTCCTGCTATATACGTGATAAAGTCTATTGCTGAAACTCAGTCATTTATTACAAATATTAGTGACTATCATAGTAATAATGAATACTCTACCATGTTATACTGAAAATGACGTATCTATTACTTATTGTATTAATTCTAACAATCATAAATATAAGTTTTTATGTTGAACTGGAAGATCTATTATATAAACAAATGGAAGTATCTATCTTCATTATCTGTGGAAAGATTCGACGCAAGAGTTGAAAACGCGATAGAATCTGACAATTATAATATAACACGCTAACGCGTGCATTTCATATAACGTAGACAAGACACTAAGTAGACTGATGCTAATCAAAGAAATGACAATAATTTTATATATAAGATGTTTTTATTTCATAAAACACGCACATAACATTTTGTGACTTAATATTTAATTCGGAATGCAATTATTATATTAATTATCTACATAATAAATTGATATACAAATAAGTTAAAGAATTTCAGTACAGCTTTAATTTAACTACTTGAATTATATTACATTTATCTACTTATTTTTAAACATTAATAGTTATGCATATTTATACTTTATAATTTACAAAAATGTTTAAAACATGGGAAGCTTTTCTATAAATAATGATGGCGTTCGCTAATCTCTAGTGATTGTTAATATCTTTGTTGCAAATATTTTAAAGTGCTTTAATGCTTCCCCTCTTTTGCGGGATGCGAGATATTTAAGATAACTATACATAACATACGAGAATATCAAAATTAAGTAATAGCGAAACTAATAGATTAACTACAGGCAGTAACTCTGGCAAATACGCCGCCCTGAGATTTACGTCGCAAAAGTCAGAAAAAATAGAAGGAGTGGGGATAATTTTCCCGCAACTACTCTACTACACGCCTTTATGTTATAGTATTAGTATTATGTTATGATTTCAGTTTCTTATTGTTAATATTAATGAAATTATTGTGAATTGATTTGTCATTGTGTTAAGTAACGCCATCATAAGTTATAATCTACATGAAATGATTACTGTAGGACGTGCAAAATACTTAGTGGTTATTTCATGATACATGAGTATAGAGAAATAGTAAAGCATGTCGTATAACAAAATGCAAGTACTTTGCTCTTATATTCTTCGTTTAGTTTGTTGTCTTGTATATCCCATTTGTTTGGGATATACGGCATTTTTAGCGGACGGGATTTATGCTCAAAGTATATAAAGTGGGCAGATTAAATTCAGTGCACTAAATCCAATAAACGCATTACATGAAATATGTATCTCATATCATAATACTTGTAATACATGTGGGAAGATTGTAATTGTTATTTATTACTTCATATATATATTTGTCATTCTTATTCCTTAATAAAATTTTATAAACGCATTTTAAGTACGTACATAAGTTATTGTATCTTTTTACGATTTATTTATATGCATTATTTGTAAATTTTTCATGAGCCCTACATATCCCTCCCTCCCCCCGTGAATAGCCATATATCCCACCCCTATGGAATATGCGATAAAAATACAAGAGTTTAAAAAAGTTCATTTTTTAATACGAAATATAAATATTTCGGATTTCCATTATTTTTTCATAATAGTTCAAAGTTTTTATTGATATAGTTTGTTTACTTTAGTTTGTTTAAACATAATAAATAATACTTAATAAATTCAGTTTTTGATAAGTTTATATATCGAAGTTACCCTGTATTATCTAGCTAAAGGAGTCCGACAATTAAGGATAATATGATATTTTTTAGCAATGTCTCAGAAACGTTCATTCTGCTATATAGAAAGATAAATAGTTTAATAATACTGTCTTCATGTCACATTATATTTTGCACATTCACTATTTCTTATATAATAAATACATTATCCTCCGTTATTCAAGAATTCATTGATAGATAACGATAAAAATTATAATATATGCATTGAAAGTTGGAAATATTTCGGGAAATCTACTATTAAACAGACTTCAGGTTGCGCTTAACGATATATTAGATTTAAACGAGATAAATTTCTGCTTTCTCCGATTAAATAGGAATCGAATAACAAATTGTTTTGCTTCAGCTATATAATCATCACGGTCGTAAACCCGCACACCATTAACTTTGGAATATATATAAAAAATATAACTAGTATGCACAATTTCAAAATTAATATATTATTATACGGTTATAAAACAAAAATCAAAAAATAAAATATAATTATATAAAAAATACTTTTCATTTCTGAAAGTTCCATTGATAAAAAACATTTTCCATATTACATGCACGTGTACAAAGTGTCATGAATAATATGAATGAAATGACTTTAAGCGAGGTCGCATTGTTTACTGCTGGTGATAGTGAGAATTTCTTGTAAAGTATTTTCATATGTATTAAGTTGTAAACTTTCCGTAAATATCGACTAACATCGTGCGATCCTACTATTAATAGATTTGTATTTACGAAATACGTATCTATTGATAAAGTTTAGTTATGTTATTTTTTTTGTTTATAAAAGCTATATGTTTATAGTAACTATAATAATTGTTCACTAAAAATGAAGCAACCTTTATTTGTCATATCAATTCTGACAACCGTAACTGTAAGCTTTGGTGTTAATCTAACAATAGTATACGATTGGAAATACGTTGATTTTCTTTGGGAAAATGAGAAACAAAGAGAGATTGCGATAAATTTTGGCAATTATAATCCTAATTCATGCGTTTTATACGACGCGGACAAGGCTCAAGGTAGGCTAATACTATTCAAAGTAAGCTAACTAAATTTGATGTAATTTTACATCAAATATAATTATATTTCTTTTTTATTGAAACATAAATATTTTTTCTAATAAACGTAATTTATGAACATAGTATTTAATATAAAAAATAGTATTTAATATAAAATCATGATCAACATTATATTCAACATATTGATAAAAAAATAAGTAAAATAATAAAAATAGTACTGTTGCAATATAAAAGTATATATATTTACAATAAAACATATTGAATAGCATGCAATTTTTGTAGATGGCAGAATATTCGTTACTTCGGTAAGAGAACAGGGAGTACCAGCTAGTCTGATGACAGTATCTGACAAAACAGGACCGGGAGGTCCACTTTTGGATCCATATCCAAATTGGTCATGGTATAATGAGAATGATTGCAATGGTATTATAAGTGTATATCGAGTGTCTGTGAGCATCAATATTTTTTAAAGCGACATATAACTATTATAAATATAATTAATATTACTATATATTATACACATCTACATTTTGCATTAGATCAAATGTAATCACATCTTCGTTCTGGATTGTGGCAAAATTGGAGAAGACGCCGTTTGTCCTCCGCAACTATTGATCTTCAATTTAAAAAATAATAAGCTCGTTAAACGTATTCGCATTCCACCTCACATCGCTAACAATAAAAATGGCACTGGATTACTCGTAACACCACTTGCTTATGTTCGAGATTGCAAATATATAAATGATGCGACTGTTAGTATAATGTGATTTAATTTGAAATGCAATTATTATATTAATTATATAATAGATTAATATAGAAATATGTTCACAGGTATTTATGGCTGATGTAGAAGGTTACGGTTTGGCTATTTACAACGAAAATTTTGGTTTCTGCAGAATCGAATCTAATTATATGAAACCGACCGATGCCAATTTTACGATAGAAAATCAAAGTTTTTATTTGGAAGACGGGATTTTCGGCTTAACAATTATTTATAAACGTAAGTACTTATTTTTGATACAAAAAAAATTATTTCGATTTATATTTCGATTGTTATATAAACTCATTACGTCCGTATATAATATCTAAAAATTTAAATCCATCTTTAAGTTGATATTTGAATCGTATCATTTCCATTTGTTTTCACTTTCTTATCTACTTATACATATTTACGCTTAACTAAAGTAAGAAAATAAAAACTTTGCCAGTAAATAATGTCATACTGTTAAACCTTTGCGATTATTAATATTTCCCTTGCAAATGTTTTAGAGTTGTATTATGCTCCCTTAGCGGGAAAGGAAATATATAAAATGGATCTGTTTAATCTTCATCAAGAATGTTTAGAATCAAGCCAAAGTGAAGTTGATAAACTAACTCAACTAGCGGGTACATTATCTGGCCAAACGGGACCGATAGCATCCGAGCAATGCGCAATATTTTTTAGCAATATTCCGGAAACATCCATTTTATGCCAAGATACTGGAAAAGAATTTCATTCTACCAACACAGTAAGATATTTAAACGCATTTTCTTTTCACGTATTATTCGGTAACAAATTATTTCGAATATTTATATTCTACTAACATTATTTCGTTTCTTGAAAGCATTATTAGTACGATTTTAATTCTTGTAAAATCAAATATTAATTTTTAGGAGGTCATTGCGCAAAATTCCGACTTATTGCAATTTCCAAGTGGAATAAAAGTTGTAAATCATAGAAAAAATCTGATGATTTTAACAAACAGATTTCAGCGAGTTATTACTGACACATTAAATATAAATGAAAAAAATTTCCGCATTCTCACCATGGATTTAGAAGTAATACAGAACGAGACAAATTGTTTTGCTTCATGCAGCGAAGATCATAATAAACCTGAGCACCATATGCCTTGGCATGATAGACCTTGGTATGATGATAGATTTTGGTATCACTTTACTAAACGCTGAATATGATAAACGTGATGAGAAAATATGATAAACTTAATAACTGACACATATAATAAATACAATAAACATAAAAGAATATTTTAAAGAAATGTTCTTTAAAAAATATATAAAAAACATGTTCCAAGAACATAAGAATAAATTCCAATTTGTATGCAACGAGAATAACAATCTAAAAAAGTTTGTAAAAATACATATTTTAATATATCCGGACGTCAATAATTTTCACTCTTTACTTTAATTAAATAAAATTCTCATATAAATTAAAAGGATTGTAAATTGTTTAATATTGTAATAATTTCACATATCGTTTATAACAATTAATATATAATATTTAGGATCATTTTCTTTTCAATTTTATACTTTTTAACGACTATAAGTTGTTTAAATAAAAGTATAAATATCTATATTTGTATGTTTTTTTACGTATATGTATATAAATAAACATATAAATTGCCAGTATCTAATATATGTATATCTAGATCTCAGAAAATCAAGCTTATCAATTTTAATCAGGTAAATCGTAATAGAAAGTTATGACAATCTTTTAAATGTATAAAAAGTTCGTGATTATATTATTATCATCGATAGACCACATTATTATGTTATATTATTAATTAAAAATTTGTATCGAAACGTAAAGAAATTTTTTGTTTTATTAATCCTTAAATGTTTTAATTAATAATATAACAATGTGGTAATTAATAATATAATAACATAATAATGTGGTCTATCGATGATAATAATATTATCACGAACTTTTTATACATTTAAAAGACTATCGTATTCCTTGATACATACTTTACTTTTCATTTTTTTTTTATTTTAGTCTTTATCAATTTATTTTAATATAAATCATTTGTCAATATAAAATACTTGTACATTATATTAGAATTCTTAATAAAGGAATAAATAAAAAGTTACAGGGAGATATATTCAAGTATATAAATTATTTCGTTAAAATCAATTAAATAAATATTATATTATAATAAAAATCTTGCGATTGAAAGTGTTATAATAATTAGTTTACGCTTATCACTTACATTTCATAGCTACAAAGTTTAACTGGCCTTAATACTGAAATAAGAATTGTTGCATGGAAACGTATTACTCTTAAGATACCGAACATTTCATACGTTCAACATTTCTGCTGTACTTAATGGAATCGAATAAGCCATACGAGCGGACTTTGCTGTTTGCATAGATACACGCCGCAACGTCGAGGCATACTGCCGCCGTTGACATAAATCCAGATTCGTATGTTGCTACGCTGTAAATCCTCCAAGTGTGTATGCATTCTGCGTAGATCACGTAACATGTCTGCCATTCGCTAAATTACCACTTATACTCGAAAATTAGTCCTCGTCATTTCGAGTAAATGATATTTACATACTAACTTTGATGTATCAAATTAAGATATTTATACATAAAAATATAATTAAAATATTATTAAAAAATATTAATAATATTTAATTTTTACATTAGATTTTTATATTAGATACATTACACATAGAATGAATACCTAATATTAATTTAAAAAATATGCTCTCTTTAATCATTTGATAAAATATTATTTTCCCAATACTTTGAAGAAAAATCAACTCTGCATTGACCAAGAATCCTACAGTTGAAGAAAAGTTTCTAAACAGATTATATCAGTATCAGATTGTTCGTTTACCAGAAAGAGAAAGAGAGAGAGAGAGAGAGAGAGAGAGAGAGAGAGAGAGAGAGAGAGAAAGAGGGAGAGAACTAAATCCTATTTTCGGAAGTTAAGCTCGCAACACTTTGTGGCCTCACCCGATAAACTCATCCGTGTTTCAGGATTCGGAATTCTTCTGCCAAAAATACGTTTTGAGAAGGGAAGAAAGAGCGAACGAAACTGCTAGAGTAGCGGGAGAGTTTCTGACAACTTAGTGAAACAATATCGCGGTTTCTACAGTAGGAACGGAAATCACTCGTGCTTTCCTGCTCTGACCGCTACAGTTCACGTCGTTTGCGAGTGGTTCATCAGAGAAGGGATAATTTAAATAACAGACCACGTTTCCCACGCGATCTTCTCGAATAATTAATCAAAAAATGTTCAACTGGAAAACACGCACACTCATGAAAACGCATGACGAATTCGGGATTGTCCGAAGATATAAGCCGAAATACAATCTAATTTAAAGAATCGCATACTGCAGATACCTATATCAGTTTTTCATATTGTGACGCTCTGATTAATTAAAAGACTATAATAATTTTTCCGGATATAAATGTAAATTTTCGATATGTTTGTGCAAAATCGAATGTCTGATCGTTAATAACGTAATAAAAATTTAATGTACATATATAATCATGGGTGATTTATTTTGATACCGGAGCGTTCAAAAAGGAATGAAAAAAAGTTGGCAAACAAAAATTCGTCGAACGGTATATTAATCGTATTATAATATTATCAGAATTTCGTTTGTCCACAAATATTGACTTTTATATCTAATTAGAAATTCTTTTTTATAAAACTTGATCAGTATACAGATAGTATAAAAAAATATTAAAATTCAATTGATTCAAAAAATAAATCATTTAGCAATAAAAGTAATAAATGTAAGTAATTAATTTCAATGTGCGTTTATTCTCAAACAATTATATGTTATATAACTTTAGTAAATATACATATAAGTGAGTTGCAAAAATACGGCCACTCGAAATAAATCAAATAAATGATCCTTCCTAATGTTGATTCCTTCAACCACGGCGAGAATTGACTAAAGAAGAACTAAAAGAGAGAGATCTAACTATGAGTTTTCGTAGTTCGAAATGCAGGGACGTGAAAGCATTTTACCAATACGGGAAAACGAAATCGAAAGCAAAGCAAGTATTTTGTTACCGTTGAAACGAAATGACGAAACCAATCGAAGTGCATGGGAAAATCATTAGTCTTGGAGACGTTCAACCGAGCAAGTTTTGTAGTCCGCGCTGTTTCTTTCTGAGTTTCAATCCGCGACGACGCGAATTCAGGTCGATGAAAGACGAAGGAAAGTAGTTCGGGCACTCGATTTTCCGGACTGTCGGAGAACTTCGTTAGTCTTGGCTGGAAAACCCCGAAAGAGGGTCGTTACCTTATCGCGACATATAAAATATTTTCGTCTGTGGTAGTCAGAACGTACTCATTCCGGAAGCGCTGTCTTCTGAAGTTTTATGTGCGAGAGGGTGACAAATCATAGATATAATGTTCCATGTGCCCATTGAGATCTCATCTAATATATACGTTTGATGTTATCACAAATATTGATTTTGTCATGATACAATTATAATAAAATATAAAATCATACAGTAATTTAACAAAAAAAAACTTTACGATATTAAAGAAATAAACAAATAATTCTGTGTAGTTTTACAATCTTTTCTGAATAAAAGTTTTTTCTTGTTAACAATCTTTACATTACTTTAAAGATTTATTTCTTCTTTTGTGAAAAATTATGTCTAAGGCAATTTCTCTCCCTTTTGACGTTTGTTTGACACGGTAAAAATATCAGCAGCAAGAATAAAAAGTGTCAGTCCAATTAGAGAACAAATATCGCGTTTCAATTGCAACCAATTGATCGTTCTGGAAAACGAATGTACGAGTAAACGCAACACTATATCCGATCCGCATACGACGCAACAAACAAGTATTGCATCCCGTGTCCGACATGTTTCGCCAGTAAATTTATGCTCTATTCTCCTATTTCTCTTGGCCGTTTAATACGCCACTCTTGGTTGCTATTGTTGCAATCAGCATCGCGTTCACTCGCTTGGAAATGAATTTTGAGAGTTTATTATGTAATCATCATTAATAACTATGCATTAATTATTAATAACCAACATTATATAAGGACATAATATAAGGAAAGTCTATTTTTGAAACTTCCATTATTAATTTATACAAAATATCATTTTTTTAACTTTAAAAATTACATGGTACATCTATGATTTAATTCAACATACTTTTATCCATTAATATTAAAGGATTTAAATAAAAACAGTCTAAAAATATATTATTTTGCTTAAAATTTTATAAATTTATAGTCGACAGATTGGTCAAAATATTGGTAAAAATTTTTTTCATAATTGCTCATTACTATAATTAAATGTTTGTACATAAATGTACTAATAATTGGTCCAGATGAAAATTATACTTGACATTTTATGTGAATAATTTAAATAGTATAATATAAATATTCTTCAAAAATATTTTCATAATACAAAAAAAGTACAAAAAAATTAAACAAAAAAAAACAAGTAGTTCTTTTTCCAATAAAATATGCCGTTGGTATAATAAAAAAATTAACATAATCGATAAAGTTTTTACGTGCGAGTGTTATATATATATATATCACTGAATTTTTAACATAAATTAAAAAGCATGATAAATTAGACCGTAAATAAAAAAAGCTTACGGTAATTTTGGGACCCGAAACTATTACGATAACTTTCTCGCAGCATAAAGAACATAGTTTGAAAAAAAGCTCATTAAGATTGCCTCGTGACATGCAAAGTAAAATTGATATTTTTTACTTTAATTACGTCTGACAAGGGATATCATAAAATGACTAATAAATTCTAATTGAGACGAGTTTCTCCGTTCTGTCGTTTAAGACGTCTGTCTTCGTTCTGTCTAAGACTTCATTTCGTCCTGACATGATCTGAGCATTTTGTGCGCACAGCTTGAAAACGGGCGGTGGGCGTTAAATAAAATCTAGTACAATTTAAAATTTAATAAGTGAGTCAAGTTTCTAGAATGGAATTTTAGGGAGTAATATCGCGAAAACTGTTGATTGAAATGGCGCGCCTTTCTGCGACGTCGCTGGTAAAAGGTCTGATGTGACTTCCATATCTTGAGCGAGAAAAAGTGCAATGAAAAAAAAAAAAGAATTCGCCGCGCTCGTCTCACGGCATCTTCGAAAGCAAGGCGAGAGTTTCACGTGAAGCATCTCTTTGCCATGTCATTTCTTTGTGAGGAGTGAGCAGGGAAAGGAGTAAGGTGTAAGCGAAACGTCTTGCTTGACATAGCTCTTGCGTTTGCACACGTGCACGTGTATGTGCACGTGTCCCATCGCCAATGCACTTAGATCTCAGAACTGAAGAAATCGTAGGCACGACCTTATCCCTTTTACTTCGCGTATTCTACTTCAAACGAGACTGTTAAAAACTCACTGATACGAGTATCACACGCGGGGAAAAACAAAACA